GGGGGGGGGGGGGGGGGGGGGGGGGCAACTGCCGCACAAAACGAGAAGAATGCCTCGGATGTTCCGGGGTGGTTTCAACCCCCTGATCGGCCAGAAAGCAAAGATATAAATATTAAAACAATCCCTCAGACTAGCATTCGTGATAACAAGAAAAAAGAATGCGTGATGCGCAGACAAATACCCCGGAAATCCTCGTCTTTGCTGTAGCAGGGCAGCAGCATCCTCATATGCTTAAAAATTTCATCTTGCTATAAAAAAGTGGCTTCTCAGATCATCTGCAATTTTGCAGCAGGGATTCACTTCAATTTTCATGGGTTGCGTGGTTCTAACGTTTCTTTTTATGACTCTAGCTCAGAGCGGCCGTTGACAAGGTGAAATCAGCTCATCTTGCATATTTTCCATACCCTTTTGAACTACATGATGTCTCATTATCACACTCTGATTTTTGTCTTTTCTTTTTCTGTTTAGCCAATCGGGGTTGCTGCGGCAGGACGCCCTTATGTTTGATTCAACTGGCTTGTCTTGCAGTCTTACTCCCGGCTCAGTTCACATTTCTCCCGTTCTTTTCCATCAGATAGCGCCTCCACTAGCTCCTTCGGTTCATCGTTACCCTTTTTTATAAGTTTGTTTGTAAATATTTTTGCCTTCCTCCTGCAAGCCTCCAGCTTTCAAACGTTTATCGGCTGCTGTTCAATCACAGGAAAAAGACTGAATAGTGTGAATTCCTTAAAGTTTGTAAATAGGTAAGTACGCGCATATCAGATTATAGAACAAGCGGCGAAGCTAAAATACATTCGTATTAGAGAAGCGCTTAGCTGTTTTCTATATTGGCGCGCAATTTCAAGTCACCCAAAGAAAACGAGCACCGTTGAGATTAAAGGACTCGCTCACCAAAATTTCAACTATCAATTTTGAGGAAACTACGCCACCGCTAAAAAAAAATAAATTCTAGGAAAACGATTATCGTCCTCCGCTCTTTGAAATCAGAGGCATCAAATAAAAGTATCACGAATTAATCTTTTCTGAATATGTCAGGCATCTTGCCATCTTGGCAACCGCCATCTTGTTGTTCAGCTGATGTATCATTTCGTCGCTTGGCTGACATAAGGCGTAACTACACATTGAGATGAGCCCGTAAAAGCATTGAATTTTATGGAAGACAGGGTTCATCGAAGGGTGTAGTTATGCCCTTATGTCAGTCAAACGACGATTTGAA